AAAGATAACATAACATTTGCAGTTACAAGCTTTTTCTTTTCATGCTTGTGGTACGTCGTACAAGGAATTCGACATTCCGTTGTCCTAGAACAATAGAAACCTTTTAGATTCTAGAACGAATGTAAGAACTACCAATAACAGTGCGCGCCCATGCAGACCGGTATTTTGGCGGGAAAAGACGTACTTCTGACTTCCCAGCTTTAGTCGCAGTGGCGTAAACATGAAAACAAATTATTAAGAGATAGTTTTGCTCTTCATACTTTTATGGTTAGGAAATAGCATAGCAATTCAACCGAGGCAATTAAGCCGCCAACAAAGAGCAACAGACAGCTTTATGTCATGATGTTTTCCAGTATTTCGCCAGAAATTTTTGGTCACCTATCCTAGTCGCAGCCTTCCTCCGAGGGCTAGTAACAATGTAAGTTACAAATTAAACTGCTCTAAGAATCAAACGAGATGGTTCAGTAGTGGCCTTGAGTGACTAAAAATGTCGTGTAAAGTTTACGATTAAACGTTTTCAGAGTAGCTCGTTTTAAAGAAGAAAGAGAAGGCTGGAGCACTTTCTGAGGTTGTAGCCAGAACAAGAAGATGATAAAAAAAACAACAAACATACCTTCTTCTCTCCTCTTCCCTTCTCCTCTCTTCTTCTCTTCTGCGTTCTTCTTCTATTCTCTTCTCCTCGAGGAGTTTTTTGAGAAGTGCTTGAGCGGTTCTTCTTCTCTCATACTGAAAAACATGGCATCCACTTATGATGAAATCCCCCGGCTGTTATAAGCTCGTAAAGAATATGCACATCATAACACGACACACGACATAAGTCGCAAAGAATGCACTATCAAATCTAACCTTTTGAATGACAATAGCAGCCAACCGCATCTTGTGGTAACGTTTCTTGTAGTAATGAGCCTGGAGGAAAGTTTGACCATATTNAGTCGCAAAGAATGCATTATCAAAACTAACCTTTTGAATGACGATAGCAGCCAACCGCATCTTGTGGTAACGTTTCTTGTAGTAATGAGCCTGGAGGAAAGTTTGACCATATTTGTTACATATTTTATTGTATATTCAGGATTACAAAGTCGGGGGCATAAAAGTTTTCTTTCTTGGGATGGGGGGAGGGGAGATTAACCGTGGGATGGGGGACAAGAAGCCTGCGGTAATGTCTACAGGAAGTGAGAAAAGAAAGAGAGAATGGGGAGAAAGATTCAAAAGGGAAATTTGGCAGCATTTTGTAACATTTTGCATGAGAATAAAGTTAGCGTAGTCTATTGTGAATCTGTGAATTTGCTTGGTTCTTTTACCGTTTTCTATCTGTTGATCGAGAACAGTTGTACCAGTCATTTTTCCACACGTAT